GCATAGTGTGATGATGAATCACACACTGCAGCAAAAGGGTCAGCCTGCAACCTCTGGCGAGATGGCTTTTATGGCTCATCTGTGGTATGCCCCTGTGCATCACAGCAAAATAGTCCCTGTCCAAAGGGGTCTCTTGTTTTGCACATGTGAAACTCCTTTTGGACAAACTGTGGGCGGAGGAAGTTGGGTTTGAATGTCAAGTATCTTGTGTCTAGGCAAACGCTTCTTGTTGAGCTTGCAAGCCCCATCATCTCTGCTTACTGTAGTCCTTAGCGCACCACCATCTGGCCCACAGCTGAAAACTATTAAGATCCTCTGAAACTTCCTCTTCACTATTCCACCCCAGTTTGGAGGCAAGTAAGTAGCTTTTTATCTCGGCTCTGTTGTTGTTTGCATGTTTCTCTCCATACAGCAGGTCTTTTCCCCCTCTCTCCTCTCCTTTTAAAGAGTAGAAGGGGAGAGGTGCCTTTCTTTTATAAAATATGTCAGGATTTTGCATTTTATACACCTCAGATGAAAGTGCTGGGCTGTGAGAGAGCAGGACTGCCTTCCAGATTAGACACCAAAAACACCACGGTTGATTCAGTGGAGGAATCCTGGCACCAAATTCATAAACAGATTGTATTTGCGATGGCTTGCACTTAGGCAGCGAGACTTCAGAGCCGAGGCGAGAGCAAAGTGAGGAAAACAAAGGATCTTTGTTGATTTTTCTTTGCTGGGGCATCGTGTTGGGACCACAGTGCACGCTCTGCTCTTATCCCACGTTGAAAGCGCGCTGCCTTTTGAGTGCATATGGTTTGGATTAGTGAGCGGCTGAGGGGGATTTTTAAGTGGGACATTAACTTTGCTTTCTTGCTTTCATTTGAAGCATTTTGAAACATTTTGGGGTTTGTTAAACTTTTGCGTTTTTCCGTGCGTTGACTGGGCTTGAAAGAGGAAGACCGCACAGGGTCAGAGTAGGTTGCACTCAGCTCCAGTAAGTTTCTTTCCCAAGCTAAATTCCAAATGTATGAGTCACTGAAGGTGAGTTGTCAGAATCTGGACATGGTTTTTGGAAGGACGAGAATCTAAGTAAGTAGATGCTGCTTCACTTTTTCCACTAGCCTTGCTCGTAATTCACAAACAAAATTCAGCCTACATAGAATGTACTGTGTAATTAAGTCTCTTAGCCTGTGTGTGTGTGTGTGTGTGTGTGTGTGTGTGTGTG